GACCCTTTCTGAAGGAGGGTCTAGGCCCGAAACGTCAGCTTTCCTGCTCCTCTGATGCTGCTTGGCCTGCTGTGTTCATCCAGCTCTACACCTTGTTATCTCAAAAATATTTCGTGCTTTGGTTTCATACTTCATCATCTAGCTAGATAGATGGATGATAGACCCTCTTTCAGTTATATCTTTTATGCTTAAACTATTCAAAATGATGCCAGATTTTGGTGACAGTTGAATCTTTTCACCTTAACTTAATATGTTATTACCTGTAAAATACAAGTGATAAATCATTAAATTCGATTCAAGCTTGTGATACAGTTAACATCATGGATCTCTGCTCATTTTGTTCTCTGCTATGTGTTCAAGTGATTAATGTTTACTGGGTTTATGGGAAAACTGGATCCAAGTATACTTCATGCAAGTGATGAATTGTTGACGTGTGTTGGTACTTCTTGATCTTTTGGTACTCTCTCCCAGCCCTGCCGGATTCTAGTGATCATTTTGTCCACACAAGGTGTTATGAGAATCAGCTTCAGAACCAGTACAGTGCATGGAATCACAATGCCCAACATATATGCTTGTGGAAGTCCCCATCTATACCACTTTGGTTGCAGAAACCTGTCCCAGCCGAACACTGCAGCGTGCGCAGTACACAGCAGGAGTGTTGCATAGCCTAGCTTGGACTGTAAGGCAAAGGAGAAATAATTTCATCAGTTCTCCTTTACAACTGTAAAATTCAAACATGCAAAATTTTACTTAATATTACTATTAACAATTCCTACTGACATTTCATGTCACAAATGTAACTTTAGTTATGTCAAGTGTATCAACACATGTCACTCCAATTATAAAATTATTTTTATACAAAATATGAACACTATTTTTTTTTTCTTTAATTGCAAGAATTAACATAAATGTTTAAGATGTATCCATTTAAAATGAATCTGGTACAAATGGCAACATGTAAAGTATGTCTACAACAGCAAAAGGTCTCGTGGAATTGTGGGTACTGGCCTGTCTCCCTGAGCCAGAATCTTTGGGTTTATGTCCCATTCTAGGGCTTCATGACAATGGAAAGGGTACTTATGCTGTGTTCAGACAGGTTGAGTATCAATCTGCAAATATTTCCAACACATACCAATGGCAGGTGGTAAAAGTGGGAGAGATTCCTATTCAGCCATGTGATGGGGAGAAAATTGGAGCCTCTACCACCATTGTTCATAGCAACAAAGTACAACATGAATATAAAAATGTTGTGCTATGCAGCCGGTTGGCTCAGTTGGCTGGACAGCCAGTGTGCACCAGTTTAGTGCTGAAAGGTTGGGGTTTGAGTCTTGCTATGGCTCGGACAGTCTCAGAACCTGCCTCTTTACTCTCATCACAAAACTGTGGAGGCAGAGCAGTGAGTATTCTCTACCAAAAAATATTGTGCCATATGATGCCTTTAATAATAATATACTTCATATAAGTGATGATTTGTTGATGTAATTGGTACTTTTTGATCTTTTCGTACTCTCTCCCAGCCCTGCCAGTTTCTAGTGATCATTTTGTCCACACAAGGCATTATGAGAATCTGTTTCAGAATCAGTACAGTGCATGGAATCACAATGCCCAATATGCATGCTCGCGGAAGTCCCCAAATGTACCACTTTGGTTGCAGAAACCTGTCCCAGCTGAGCACTGCAGTGTGTGCAGTGAACAGCAGGTGTGTTACCTATAATGCAATCTGTTTTGAGTGATTAATTCGATATACGCATGCACTAAGTGGTACCTGCACAAATCGGAACTCTCTCCAGTTGACACTATTGCTGACAGATGGAAGAGAAGTGATGCCCAGCAAAACGTAAAGAGCAAACCCCAGCATTCCTAATGCAAAATACAGGTCAAGACGCCATGACAGCACTTTGCTCATCTGCATAGTTTTATTCTTCTTTGACTGCAAGAAAGAAGAGAAACACCTAAACAGTGGTGCGCATACAGTGTAAGATGTATAACCTTTGAACTATGGAACTTCAGCGCCTTGAAGCCTAAATTCAATTCGATAATGAATGACCCTGTACTTCAACAGAGCCGACCGGCCTTATCTTCATAACCTTTATCCAACAAAAAGCCATCAATCTCAGTCTTAAAAGTTCCAAGTGTCCGAGTATCTACAGTTATTTGGAGAAGATACTTCAGATTTCTACCATCCTATGTGTGAAAATGTTTTTGAATTTTGTCCAAAAATTTTTAGCTGTTGGAATAATTAAATATTAATAAAAGTTTTATTTTTCAATGGGAATGGGTTTAGCATATTGAATTACAGTAAAATCATTTTGAGATGTTTTTCCATATATTGTTCTCAATGGCAATGATTTCACTGCAAAATACAAAAAGCACATTGGGCTGGGTTTAATGCAACTCATCACAGTGGAAGCATGACATCTGCAAGCAATTAATTCGGGGAAAGTTCCATTTCAGTATGCTAGTGATGACAAAACCTTCCCAATGCTGTGGAAGAGGCTGACCCAAGATTCCCAGTGGGATGTCAAGTTGGCTCATCAATGAGGCAATTAATGCCCATTAGCCCAGAGCGACCCGCTGAGCTCACCACAACTTAGAAATGACTCAGGAATTAAATGGAACTTGCGAGGCCCAGCAAATACTCTTATTTGCCGCTGACCTCCAGTCAGTCCCCGGTAGTCAGACGCCCTACCTAAGTCTTGCATTGGGCAAGTGGTTTAGCTGCAGAAAGTGACCCTTTGAGATCCTGTTGAAAGCTACCCTCTGCCCTTGGCTCTGAACACCATTCAACATGAACCCACCATGATTCACTTTTGCTCTGGGGTCCCATGTTGATCTTGGAGACCTGCTGGGTGCAATGCTGCCACCAGTCATTACCTCAGCTGGAAGTGGCTGGTTAGTTGATTGGGTGACCACCTTCGGTGGGCTGGAACTCCACCACCGGGGACCTCAACCATGGGGTGAGCCCACCAGTATTTACTAAAATGCCCAGAGGGCACTTGTTTTTGTCAGACCTCCCTTAAGGAACTAATGAGGTTTTCAGACCAATTCTCCCATCAATGGATGAGATCCCCTCCTCCCACCCCAACCCCAACCCCATAATCAGACAGAATCCTGGATATTGAGCTACATCAAGTGTCTTATAATGTTGGCCTCAAATACTGACATCACTTGGCACATCCTTATTAAACCAAAACTCACTTCTTGGCTCAATATTGCTAAAGCAAAACACAGTGTTAATATTCTTGATCAATTAATATGAATAATTCTTGATTAATATTCTTAGTTTCTTACTCAAGGGTTACGGGGTAAATGCAGGAAAGTGGACGTGAGGAATGTCGGATCAACCACAATCCTATTGAATGGCACAGCAGGCTGAAGGGGCTGAATGGCCTACTCCTGTTTCTATTTCTTATGGTCTTACGTACATTCCCATACTACCCCAGCACACTCCTATGATAAACTTTACGTATCAAATAAAAGACAGGGTCAGACCATTGAGACAGATCTAAGCTGCAATTTATGCTTGCTATTCATGTTTGCCCCTTATAACAGTGACAACAAAAGCTGCTGCTGATTTAGGAAAACAATATTTAGGAAAGTATAGGACATTCCTTTCTGACTACTTGTGGGAATCAAGCCAGTTACAGAATGTTGTGAATGGAAAACACATTGCTAGTTCTCAGCTCCCTTCCATATGTAGCAACGCACACTGAGGAATTTATCTGATGTATTGTCTGGCTCCTTTTCAAATGTTCACAGTGAGTTCATACTCCCTGTACAATCCAACAATTTGTTCTTTCGGCTCTCTGTAAATAGACGTCTCTGTAAAATAATTTGACGGCTATTTTGACTTTATGCTCACAAAACGTATACTCATGTAAAAATCAAAAAAAATTATGCATGCTGGAAAAGTGAAATAAAAGCAGAGAATTCTGGTAAAACATAGCGAGTCTGTGGTGAGAGAAGTAGAGTTAACATTTCAAGTCCAGTATGACTCCTCTTCAAAACCTCATGACCCTGATCTTGCTAACTTTGCTACTTCATCAAATAGCCTGTCCAAGAGCACTGAATCTAAGCTTTTCATTATTTCAACAAGTCATTGGGCTGAATTTTCCCATAAATCGTAAAGTACAGGGAGTTTCATGGAAGGTTTCTCATTGTGACCTGGTACCTAAATAAGATTCATTGTGAACTGCTGTGCTACTCCCCAAGTAGTACCACTGTGAATGAATTCATAACATACTCAACTTCCTAAATCTGTTTCTTGACTTATTCCTTCTCTTGTCTTCTGTAGACACCAGCAACATCCACACAGTCTCCATCCTCACAACAGCAGCCTTTCTACTTCACATTTTCTCCCCTACCCCTCAGGAAGATGTCACAGATCCTTCAAAGGAAGCACAGGTAAGACTGTCATCTACATTCTCCACAACTCATACTGCCACTTTAGTGAGTCTGTGAGCTAGATTAAAGTCAGGAATGTGTTCTGGTGAGCATGTCACTATCACATCTCTGCAGCTGACTGAAGAGCAAATGCCCCCACTTGGAGAACTGCTGGAGATCATGCACCAGGCAGGAGAGGATCCCACAGTGCTGGTCATTTAAAAACCTTGTCAAAAATGTCAGAAGTTGACATATTAGCAACAGGAAGATGTAGTCAGCACCAATGGCAAGGCCATAGGGGGAATGAGGGTCGTTGACCTCACTCCAGATGTCCTTTGTCACAAGTAGACAGGACGGTGCCAGTAGGAATACAGCATGATGAGGAACCACATATTGATTCACCACAATTCTCCACTCAAGGCACAGCAGAGGTGTCAGGCTCCTCCAATTTCACACTGCCTGCAATCCTCAATCCTACAAAAGTTCAAGCTGAGGAGGGTAAACATCCTCTGGTGAGGACGTTGTCAGCATGTCTGGGCTCTGTGGCTACAATGTCCCTGTGGACAACGACCCAAAGCTGCAATGCCAGCAGGCTCCACTATGGGGCAGGATCCCTCCAGCCTAGCTGCTGACCTCAGGACTGCATATGGATGTAGTGGGATGATGAGAATAAAGAAGACAATACAATGGCATATTTGTAGCATGGGTGGAGCTACGTTGTAAATACATCATCAGTTTTATAAACTGTGTTCACTTTTAATTATCAAATGTCTGAGCTCATGTCATTTTAGTTGTAACTACAAGAACGAAGTTAGAGGGCTAGACATTCTTAGTGCCACATGAAGTTTTCACCCTGCCTGAAGGTTAGCTTACCTTTCTCTGCTGTTAGGGCTAAAGGGACCAAAGAGTATGGGGAGAAAGTGATAACAAGGTACTGAGTTGGTCACGATGAATCACGGAACTTGCTCAAAGGGCTGAATGGCCTACTGCTGTTCTAATTTTTGACAATTTGATAGCACCCATACTGCTCAGTTGTCTGGACAGCCTGTTTGCGATGCAGAGTGATGCTAACAGCGTGAGTTCAGTTCCCACACCAGTTGAGGTCACCATGAAGGGCCCTCTTTCTCAGCCTCTTCCCCTTACCTGAGGCATGGTGACCCTCAGGTTAAACCACCACCGGTCGTTTCTCCTTAATGAGAGAATAGCCCTATGGCATCTTTACCTTACTTTTACACAAAAACAGAAGCAGTTTCTGAAGAAGCAGTTTCACTGGACCTGAAACGTCAGCTCTATTTCTCTCCACAAATGCAGCCAGACCTGCTGAAATTTTTCAGCAATTTCTGTTTTTGTTTCAGATTTCCAGCATCCGCAGTTCTTTCAGTATTTTCCTTTCATATCAGCTTAAAACTTTGTCATGATTGATTGAAGAAGCATCTGATGATGTGAAGGCTTCTATCAGTCTGTAACTTTAACCTTTATCAACAATAAAAAAAAAGCAATAAACTGGTAAGTTGCCTTTGACGATATGGTTAAAGCCGCATGAAAACAAAAGAGTCTAGGCCCGAAACATCAGCTTTCCTGCTGCTCAGATGCTGCTTGGCCTGCTGTGTTCATCCAGCCCTACACCTTGTTATCTCAGAATCAGTGAAAAATGACTTCATGCAACTCAGTTCGATTGATAGCCTTTGACAAACAAGTCCTGTCTGGGTTGTTTTGGCTGACAATGTACGTACTGTAGAATGGAGAAAGGGCTGTTTGTTCTGATGAACAATCTCAGTTGCCTACTCAGTGCAATGCCTTGGGCCTCACAGATCCTCATCCTCCATTACATATGCTTGTTGCATCCTCCAGTTGTCTGGAGCAAAGCATCCATACATCAAGCAGTGTCCTCTGTCTGTAAATTACTGCAAAAAAAAAACAAAAAAAAACCCACCAGTCCTGTGATACAGAATACCACAGGTTCCCCACCCTCCTGAGTGAAGAAATTTCTCCTCACCTCACCAATTGTTTATCCTGAAAAAGTGACTTCATGTTCTGTACCTGCCTCTAGGTAAGAATCACCTCTGCATCCAATGTGTCAGAAATTTACATAATTTCAAAGAGATCCCTTCTCATTCTTCTAAACTCCAGGGAATTTAGGCTCAGTTGAACCAATCTTTCCTCCTAGGATGAAGTGACCATCACAGGAATCAGTCTGGTGAACTTACTGCACAGTTATTCTTTTGAGTACATTGGAATCAAGGTGCTAATGACCATCGATGACTTCCCCCACTCCTACAGTACCATCTCTCCTACAATGCTCCATCATCTCCCAACCTTATTGATTTTGTGTCATAGAATCCCTACAGTATGGAAACAGGCCCTTCGGCCCAACAAGTCCACACCGACCCTCAGAGTATCGCACTCAGACCCATCCCCAGGCACTATGGGCAATTTAGCATGTCCAATCCACCTAGCCTGCACATCTTTGGATTGTGGGAGGAAACCAGAGCACCCGGAGGAAACCCACGCAGACACTGGGAGAATGTGCAAACTCCACACAGACAGTCGTCCAGGGGTGGAATCGAACCCAGGTCCCTGATGCTGTGAGGCAGCAGTGCTAACCACTGAGCCACCATGCTGCCCATTTTGTTCTAATCAACCTGTTCAGAGATATTTCTTTATGCAGGTGGGACTTGTATCTGGGCCTCCTGACTTACTGCTGATGTCTTGATATTGAGACTTCACAATTCACTTGCCATTGTCCATGTTCTTCTGCAACTGGGAGGACTGCACCCAAAGAAACCACCTAAACTTTTATATTGCTCTGGAGCATAAAGCTGTAAGTCCATAAGCCATTGTGGTAAATGGGGGCTTTTAAATTAGATACATTCTAGTGACTCTTCTCTGAACCTTTCCTGGCAACCCTATATCACCTACTATGTCAGGGGATCAAAACTGGATGTCATTCTAAATTAAGCTTAGCTAAGGTATTACATACAAACAATGCAATATATTTTGGATTTGAATTTGATTATGCTTGTAATTTGTCTGAATATTCAAATAGCTTCTGTGACATTTGTAAAAAAAAATTACTCTTAAAATAACAATGTAGGCATGGATAACCTTATTACCTCTTCAATCATAGAGTTTATCCAGCGCCATCTAACTGAGTATCGAGTCGGGATGATGAATGTATAGAGTACATGAAGGAAGGCATAAGCAAGTGCCACAAGCCCAAGTTGCTTCCGACACAACATCCACCTGTCCAGCCAGTCAGGGAATCGCTTGTATTTTGTCCCTCTGTGAAGCTGAATGAAGGCAGCAATGACACCCGGCAGATAAACCAAGCTCAGCAGGATTATGGAGACATTCGGGAAGATACGGTTAGGAACTGAAATTGCAAGTTTATAGGAAACGTCTTTATTGTCTTTTGCATAAGGATAAATTACATCAATCACCACACAGTATACGAAGAAGAATACTGTGAGGCCAGCCGTTATACAAAGGGGTAGTCTCCACATTGGAAAGAGCTGGAGAGGGTAGTTCTCGAGTTCTCCAGCTGCCAGAAGGGATCCCTGGTCTAAAGGAGTGAGGCCTATGCTCCTGGCAACATCCATTACCAACTGTTTTGATTGATTGTCATCCCCACAAACAAAAACCTGGAACATAGAATGATAATTTTTATTACTGATGCAAAAATTGATGTTGTAATTTAGTAAACTCAACACAAGCTAATTGATTTTTTATATAAAATGCAGCATGTTGATTAGTATAAACAGTGTTTAAGTTCATCACTGCTAACAATACATTCTTCATTTAATCTACATACGTAATGAGTTTTCCAAGGCGCACTAAAGTAGGTGACACACAAAATACATGTTTGTGGAAGTAATACATTAGCATGGATACAGGATTGGTGAATGACGTGACTGCCCCTGAACTGAAAAATCATAAGGTATAAAAAGACACAAACCAGGGACGTAAACAAAAACTGTAAGATGTGAATAGCCAAACCGCAACACAACACATGGAGAGGAACTATACAGATATGTTGGGAATAACATTGAATAAATGGGAGCCAGCTCAACACTGGTTCTTTAGAAGACTGGACATAATGTAATCACAAATAATGGTGCAAGATCACAGCTGTTGCTTAATAGGATTAAGAGGCTGGAAGAGACATTTTTATAAACAACGATATGGAAGGAACTTTCACACATTCATCAATCCTGGAGGCAGGCATCTCACCATGCGGTAAGAGTTGCACTGTTTTCTGTTATGGAAATAATATTTTGTCTATCTAGTTATGTCTAGGCCTGGCCATGGAATAAACTAACAATAAACTAACGGGGAGGCAATGACCCAGTGGTATTATCGCTGGATTGTTAATCCAGAAACCCAGATAATGTTCTGGGGACCCAGGTTTGAATCCTGCCACGGCAGATGGTTGAATTTGAATTCAATAAAATATCTGGAATTAAGAATCTAATGATAACCATGAAACCATTGTTGATTGTCAGAAAAACCTATCTGGTTTACTAATGTCCTTTAGGGAAGGAAACTGCCATCCTTACCTGGTCTGGCCTACATGTGACTCTCGACCCACAGCAATGTAGTTGACTCTAAACTGCCCACTGGGCAATTAGGGATGGACAATAAATGCTGCCTAGCCAGTGATGCCCTCGTCCCGTGAATGAATACAGAAAAAAAAAGGGTTGTTAGATACTGGAAGACATAGCACAATGGCAACAGGAGATGTGTTTGTGATATTGTGATGTGGGTCATCACAGAAGGGGTTACACTGGAGAGTTTTACTGCAGTTGGGACCAGAAGGACAAGAGACTGGTCATGTCTATCTAAATCAGGGCCTGCAATCAACAACAGTAACAATCCACTGTATTTGTGATTGTATGTTACACTCAGATTGTGGAGGGTTTTAATACTGGGGTAATTTTGTAACTTGCAGTTAATTTGCAGAGGGTTTTGAACTGTGGCAATTTTTTTAGGTTTGAGGCATTGGGTTTTGTATTGTGGGTTTCTATACATTCCCATATGCATTTTGTCATTGCAATTTTTGAAATCCAAGTAGGGTGGGAACAGAAACTCTTACAGTGGTCAGTGGACAGAAAACAGAGAATAGGGACAAATGGGGAATTTTCAGGTTAGTAGGATAGTACTCCTGGAGTGTTGCAAGGATCAATGCTGGGGTACAATCTACTACAATCTATATTAATGATTGAAATGAAGGGATGAAATATGATGCAGAGAAGTTTGCTGATATTACAAAGTAAGCTACAAAGAACTCAATAAAGAATCTGCAAGAGGATATGACAGATTAAGTAGGCTAAAATTTGGCAAATATGGGTATTCACTTTGGTGGGAAAAGTGGAAATTTGGAATATTTTTAAATGGTGAGAAACCACTAACTTTTACTAATGCAAATGCTAGGGATGTGGGAAATCTAAAATACAAACAGAAAATGCTGAAAACACTCAGTGGGAAAGAAACAGAGCCCATATTTCAAGTCATCCAAACTGAAGAAAGTTAGAGATGTGACATGTAATTCCCAGGTTTAGAGACAGGGAAAACATTGGTGGGCAGATTTTAGGGAAGAAGAAGAAAGATATTGCCCGTTTAATTTCCCACATTTCTAATAGAACCCTTCCCCTCTCTCGCAGATAGGCTTCCTATTTTCCTCACACCCCACCAGTCTCCATACTGAACAGAATTTCTCCACCTCTAGTGTGATAAACAGCAACATGGAAAATAGGATCAGGAGTAGGTCATGCAGCCCTTTAATCCTGCTCTGTCATTCAATATGATCATAGCTGATCATCAAACTCAGTACCCTGTTCCTGCAGGGAAAACATTCAAAGTTTTGGCCTCAAATCGCTGGCAGAGAATTCCACAGGCTCACCACTGAATGAATTCATGAATTCTGGGTGAATTTATCCTCATCCCAGTCCTGAATAGTCTACCCCATGTCCTCAGACTGTGATCCCTGCTTCTGGAGTTCAGTCATCGAGATCATCTTTCCTGCATTTATCCTTTCTAGTCCTGTTAGAATTTTATGGATCTCTATGAGATTTCCCCTCATTCATCCAAATTCAAGTATATACAGTCCTAGTCAATCCAATTTCTCTTCATTTGTCATTTTTGCCATCCCAGGTATCAGTCCAGTAAATTAAATGATGAAATTATCCAACTGGTTCTCCTCTTACCTGTTTCATCCATGACTCCTTAGTCCAGTCCTAAGGCATCGCCAGCATCTCCTCCACATTCCAAAGTACTGTCCCATGCAATATAAAAGTACTAGGTGATGCCAAGCTATTCCCCCACCCACCTCCTTTTGCCCTTTCCTCTCTCTGTCAATTCACCTAGTGTCCACAATGAACATATTCGGGAACTTGCAATGACATCTCTATTAAAAGAAACAATCCCATTGACAAAAATTCAATTCATTACATCAACCGATCTCTTATGAAAACAAACCTTTCATGAAGGGCTTCATCTCTTATGAAACAAACATTTTGACGTTATAAACACTTGGAGCTGTGCATCAAACTATTCACTTGACAGGCACCCCACATTAAAAATGGTAGATTGGGAAATTGGCACTCAGCACAAATTCTGCAATGACACATCGTAACATGCATAATGAAAAACCTAGCATTATTTTCTTTTTAATTCTATGTAGCTTTGAATGTACTTTAACAATTCCAATGGTTTTACATACTTATTAGAAAAACTCATGTACATTTTTAACAATCCAAACATGTATCTGATCCTGCCTCCCTTGCTAGAGGTTTCCTGGGGCTATGTCCAATGGGTATTTTACCTCTTCAATGTAATACCCTGGCTATTCAAATTAATCTAAAAAGTTCAGACCTGCTCTTAACAGGTCTAATGCTCACACTTTGGGTTCCATGCTGCAGGGATGACAACATCCCATTTCACTGGAGACTACTGGTTATTTAAATAGCCAGCTGCCTTCATAATTAATGCAAGTGCAAAACCTGCCTGATTCTATTCCCAGAGATAGTAGGAACTGCTGATGCTGGAGAATCTGAGATAACACGGTGTAGAGCTGGATGAACACAGCAGGCCAAGCAGCATCAGAGGAGCAGGAAAGCTGACATTTCGGGTTGAGACCCTTCTTCAGAAATGGGGGAGGGGAAGGGGATTCTGAAATAAATAGGGAGAGAGGGGGAGGCGGATAGAAGATGGATAAAGGAGAAGATAGGTGGAGAGGAGATAGACAGATCAAAGAGGCGGGGATGGAGCCAGTAAAGGTAAATGTAGGTGGGGAGTTAGGGAGGGGATAGGTCAGTCCAGGGAGGATGGACAGGTCAAGGAGGCGGGATGAGGTTAGTGGGTAGGAGATGGGGGTGGGGCTTGAGGTGGGAGGAATGGTTAGGGAGGCGGGGACTAGCTGGGCTGGTTTTGGGATGCGGTAGGGGGAGGGGAGATTTTGAAGCTTGTGAAGTCCACATTGATACCATTGGGCTGCAGGGTTCCCAAGCAAAATATGAGATGCTGTTCCTGCAGCTTTCGGGTGGCATCATTGTGGCAATGCAGGAGGCCCAGGATGGACATGTCGTCCAAGGAGTGGGAGGGGGAGTTGAAATGGTTCGCGACTGGGAAGTGTAGTTGTTTGTTGCAAACTGAGCGTAGGTGTTCCGCAAAGCGGTCCCCAAGCCTCCGCTTGGTTTCCCCGATGTAGAGGAGGCCACAAAGGGAACAGCGGATACAGTATACCACATTAACAGATGTGCAGGTGAACATCTGTTTGATGTGGAAGGTCTTCTTAGGGCCTGGGATGGGGGTGAGGGGGAGGTGTAGGGGCAGGTGTAGCACTTGCTTCGGTTGCAGGGAAAAGTGCCGGAAAAGTGCTACACTCCCCTCCAGCCCCACCACCCCCTGCAGTTTTCCCTGACCTGTCTCCTCTCCACCCATCTTCTCCTTTATCCATCTTCTATCCGCCTCCCCTTCTCTCCCTATTTATATCAGAATCCCCTTCCCCTCCCCCATTTCTGAAGAAGGGTCTTGACTCGAAACGTCAGCTTCCTGCTCCTCGGATGCTGATTCTATTCCCACCTCCACAAAAGTTGGACGATGTCATGTGTAAGGTCAGGGCTTCTGATTTCTGGTCACTTCCACTATTTTCACTATGATTTTGAAGACCTCACTTGTAGTGAAAGTTTGAGCTGATATGTTTGTCATTACTGCTAGTGATTTGAATTACAAGAGTAAGGAAGTTTTGCTGCAATTGTATATGTCTTTGATGTGATCACATCTGGAGGACTGTGTAACTTTCTGGACTTCAGACCTAAAGAAGTATATTATTACTTTAAAGCTAATGTGACCAAAGTTAACCAGATTCATTCCTGTAATGAATGGGTTGCTCTGTGAAGATTGATTCAGTGGATTGGACCCAAACTCTCTCAAGCTCAGAAAGCTGAGAGGGATCTCATTTTAATATATGGGTTCTACGAGCACTTGACAAGGTAGATGTTGAGAAGCTGTTTCCTTTGTCTTGTACAAAAGATATCCCCTCAGGATAAGGAGCTCGCCATTTATGACTGTGCTCAGAAGAAATTTCTTAATGTTGTGTAATCTCAGTCATTGAGTATATTCAATGCTGAAAGCAATGTACTTTAGGATTCAAAGAGAAGCAAGTGACAGGGAAATTGAAGCTGAGGTTAAAGATCAGCCATGATCTTATTGAATGGCCAGGCAGGTTCAAGAGACTGAAGCTCTGAATTCTTACTTTCATATCTTACCTGACTGCTGGCATCCAAGCTCCCCGACTGCAGAGCCCAGGCTGAAACTGTGTTGAATCCTTTCACCACATTGGCTTTGGGAACCAACTGGGACAGATACTGCGCATTGGATTCAGGATATTGATTCATTTTGAGATTGTTGCTCACATCCACCAGCACCTTTCCATCTAACTGGTCAGACAGGGCTGAAATAAACTCATAGTTTTCCCTGTGAACTGCCAAGAAAACGATCTTGGATGTATTCAGGGCCTCCGCATGGCTAAACACTTGTGCTCCACTTGGCAGCAGGGTAGTGTTCTTTGGGTCTCGGCTACCGTATACCACTGGGTAGCCTGATTTGAGCAGTCTCATGCCCAAAGATCTTCCAAAATCCCCAGTGCCAAAAATACAGATTGTCTCCCGCTTATTGGCATTTTCACCAACTCCAGCCATTACTAATGAATTTGACATCTGTAAACAGAAACACACAAGAGAAGATGTTAACTTTATTGTGTAATCTAAAAACACAATGTGCCAATGTTACAGAAAAATTAGGCCAGTGACATGTACTACAAATCAGGCCAAACCTAAGATATATTTCTTGTTATGTTATAGCATTTGTTGCCATCTTTCTTGACTGAATGTCTGTTTTATTTCTCTTTCTGTACCCCAACTAGATAGAGGACTTTATCAGAAGTAGTAAAATAGACTGAGTTAGTGTTGTGATTGTAATGGGGTCAGCCAGGTGGTCTCATAGAATATGAGTTCCCTGATTGGGGCTGTTAACTTGGTTTAATCAGGGAGACCTGGCTGAAAGACATAAACAGGAGTGTCAGGGGCTCACTGTCTGCTCACTGTAGGATCCAGCTCTGTGCTAGCTAGGTCAGCGTCATGTCTATGCATGTATAAATAAAGGGTGACTTGGTGAGAGATACCAGCCTTTATGGAGTTATTTTAGTTAGATGAACCAAATCAGCAAATTAATTGATGATACAGTGTGGAGCTGGAGGAGCACAGCAGGTCAAGCAGCATCAGAGGAGCAGAAAAGTTGACGTTTTGGGTTGGGACCCTTCTT